CGAGTTTAATCTCGTCATGGCAAAAATATTTTTTCTCTTCATGTGTGGCCCTAATACTCCGTCGTATTCTACAGAGTCCTGCTAATGACCTGATTATTTGACTCTGGTGCGATGAAACAGAGGTATATCTTAAAGGTGAACAACACCGGAGCTCAACTGTCAGAATGAAGGAACTATAGACGAAAGCAGGAGTGGGCATTTCCAGTTTTCAAGATCTGGTTTCCTGATACCTAGAGATATGTCCTGAAACACCTGAATCAATTATTAGCGAGACTCTTTGAGACCGTGCATAACAAGGATATGATTGAGAACGGCTGGAGCTGCCCATCACTGGACTAATGCTTGGGTCTTCAACCATGATCAGCAGTACCCACTGTCCTGCATTTATAGGAGCTTCACACATCTGAAGTGAATAAATGGGTAACAAGCCTCTGCAGACCTCTACAGCTTCTGAGGAAGCATTGCAACCATTCAACCTGAGTGTGTTGTAGCAGACACATCAAAAACTGTATGAGCCCTATTTCATCCCTTTGACATGAAAACTGACTCAGAGCTCATCTAATTAACTATTTCTGTCCAGACAGAGACACCTTTGGAGCTAGTTTTCTGTTACATTTTCTAACATAGAAATTACTGCTTCTGTCTCCTTGAACCCCAGTCAGCCTCAGCAGATGGCCGCTCACACTGAGCCTGGTTCTGCTGGAGGTTTTTTCCTGTTAAAAGGGAGTTTTTCCTCTCCACTGTCGCTACAAGCATGCTTAGTGTGAGGGATTGCTCTAGAGTATTGAGTCGATGCAGTCAGCTGGCTTTCCTTAGATAGAAAACTTTGAGCCAATCTGACTTTATGATCTGGTTGAATTATCTATATAGAGCCCCTTGAGTTGACATGTGCTGTGAATTGGTGGTATATAAATAAACTTACACTTGTTTACATTTTGTCACATTATATAATAAAAGGTCAATATTTTATTGGGACGGCATGTGATAGAAAAACTCAGTGCATTCAAAAGCTCTAAAGTAGAAGGACCAGGACACTGAGCTCTAATAATATTGGATTCTGTAAAACATCATGTACATCTGTACACAAACTCCTTTACTCTGGTTTCATATAATTCCATGCCAACCAACTCCCTCCAAAAATCATCTATCTGTGAATTTGTTTGGGTGGTGTGCCTCTTTTTTTTTTAAACATAAGTGGGATCCATAATAAACTGCTTAGATAATATAAGTCAACACATAGGACAGGTCTGGAAAATATCTGAGAAGTTTAAAGAAGGATTAGGTTCTAAAACAGTGTCCTGATCTTTGAACGTCTCATAGAAATCTGTTCGATCCATCATCACCATCCATGTTCACAGAGTACTACTAATGTACTGAAACAGATCTAATCAGGCATCAACCCAGAGCTCAGGTGGGATAAGTTATTAACGAGGAAACCATTGGTCGATTTCTCAACAAATCTGCTGTTTAGAATTGGTTACATAGATTTATTCCATTTCTAATTCAAACTGAAATATGGACAGTATTTGCACCATTGATTTAAGTGTATCCCTGAAAATAAAATTTGATTGAACATATGAGAAATTGTGTTGTTGGATTAGTCAGTATATATAAGCACTTTAAAAACATACATCATTCAAAACATATTTTAAAATTTGTCACAATATATATAAATATCTATGCATTTTAGTCGTATAAGGAGTGGAAAAGATATGTAATGCTTTCCACCAGCCAAAATAATTTAAATTAAGCAACTTCTTAAGTGATATTTTTTATCTATGAGACACCTAGCTTCAAGAAATATAGTGAGAATTGAGGAAAGTATTGCTTCAATAGAATTATATTTTAAAATTTTGCATGGACATTAACTCCAGTGCAATGTATATTCAAAAAAATATATCTAGCCATAGTTCATGCTTATACTACAGTAGGGGTTGGGAACCTGTGGCTCCGGAGCTTTTTCAAAAATTTATGAAAATGTAATTTTTTTGTTTTGTTTTATTATGGTGTGAATGAGTTTAAACAAACATTCATTATGTTTCCCAATGCTGTAAAAAATTGTATAATGAATGTAAACATTTCTTTCAACAAACATTTGCGTCATAGCAATAGAGATCAGTGTTCATAGCCTGTAACACGCGTTTTAGCGCCACAAGGCAAACAAAGCGGAACACTGCCAAAAATTTTAATCTAAATAATTTTTTCTTCAACTGAAGAGGTAAATGAGACACTTTGCCAATGGGAGAAGACAAATTACAAAAAAAAAAAAAAAAAATTGTTGAATTTTTCTTTTATCTCCACTTCTGTTTAAATAATTTGCTTTACTGCAAAAAAAAAAAAAAAAAGTAATGTACGTATTGTCTTAT